ATTCGTATGCCTTGCCTTCCGAGTCCTTCTCAGGCGCCTGGAGGGGTTCCCATTCAGCGCCGTCGTTATGCGTGATGCGACTCTGCTTCTTCTTCTTGGATCCCTTGTTGACCTCATCGACGTTGACGATAACATTGGCGACAGCGACTCCCTCAAGACCTTGCATCTTCTCGAAGTCGACGTAGCCTTCCATATTTCGGTTCACAGCGGCCAGGCTCATGACGTAAGATGTACCATTGCTGTTACTCTTGATGATGGAACCATACTCCTGATCCCGTGTTGGATTGACTGTAACATGAAGGAAGACCGCGTGTGTGGAGCTGTCCAGAACAGTGTAGGCTGTCTGGTGAACGTCAAAGAACTTGGGTGGGAACTTGGCCTCGGCGAAAATGTTGGCGTCAAGACTCGCATCCAGATGGAGAGTCCCATCATCAGCTTTGGTCGCGACAACGATAAACTCAGACATTGTCGCAAATTCCACGACAGATTTGAACTTGACATCCTTCTTCTTGAACCAGTCCTCACTGGAAATGAGTTCAAGGGGAGCGCCCATTTCCTCGTTTGTGTGCTGTTCGCAGAAGATCTGCTCCTCCTTGATGCTTCGACCAGCTTCGCGCCAAACAAATGCGCACTTTTTGACGTACGGTACGAGCGGCTCCCAGCTTTCGTCTTCACCGTTCTTCTGTGAGACATAGGCTACAGTATGACAGTCTTTATCGCCAGCTTTGTCGCAGTGCTTTCCGCCCATCCAGATGATCCAGCTTTCCTCCTTTGGATGGAATTGCATAATCGAGAGCCTTTCTTTATTGGGCATAACGGGTGCCTCGTGAGAGCGGATGCTATCGCGACGTCCGCGGTCTGTGGAGTAATAAAATTTCTTGCCGGCAGTCAAGAAGTAAACTCTGTTGTTATCGTATTGGTGAGGGTAGATTCGAACAACCTCATCATCCACAGCCTTTTTCCATTTCTTTCCATGGTCATGAGTGATGTAGGCCGTTCGCTCATCGGTCAGCATGACAACTGTTTCGTCTTTGTCGTCATCGCTCTGGGTATTGCCCTCGAGATAGTACTGCTCCAAGAATTCACCTCCCTTGAACCTGGTGATTTCGCTCGTAATCTTGTCACTCTTTGGTGGCGGTCTCTCAGCGTCTCCGCATTCACGCTCGACTTGCTTGTCTCTTTCGGTCTCGCCTTTGCATTGGTCACCAGGTATCTTTCTCCAACCGGAGCTGCCTTTGTATGTCTTTGCGTCACCCTCGCAAGCGCCTTGGGGTAATTTGAAGGAGTCGTTAGGTTCGCACTTCTTCTCCTTGCCTTCTCCAGTAGGTGTAAATCCGAAATCGCATTCGTAGTCTCTGAATTCGTCGCAATCACATGGCTTGAAGTTTGGTGTCGGGTCTTTGAAGACCTCTTCAACAAAGCATTCGGCATCCCACTTTCGCCGGCGGAACAGCTGTTTGTGACCCATGACGCAGCTTGGGTCACCGTCTGCATCTTTACGCACAGACCATTCGTCATCAAAATCGCTGTCGCCACACTTCTTCAGCATATCAGTGAAGTCCAGGTGGATGATAACATGTTCTCGGCCACCGCCGTCCTTCTTCTTAGATGCGTAGAGCATAAACTTCAAGCTCGTCGAGTCAGGTAGGGTTGTGAGTTCGCGTGCGCGGATCTTGTAGTCAAGCTTTATCTTCTTCCATGTATCTTTCCGCCCATGCTTGAACGAATACCTGATCTCGTCGGTGTCGCCCTCGTCGAATACGGCTACCAAAATAGAACCCTGGTCGCCAATTTCGTACTTGTGCGCATCTTCAAGCGCCAGTTCCCATGTGAGACCGGCGTCATCAGAGACATAGAGATCGCCGTCGGTGTATTTGCCCAGGTAATCTCCAGTGTTTCCGACACCCATGACGATACCTGGTGCGGGGCTTGAAAAGACCCTCCCGCTGTTGTGCAGGTTAGTCACCGAATGTAGATGCAATTCTGCGTCTTTCTTGCCCTTAATCGTGAGCTTTTCGAAAGATCTGCCGTCATCAAAGCTGATTCGCGATTTTAGTTTCTTGCCCTGACCCGATTTTTCTACCTGTTTCCAGTTGTCAACAGTATTTACCAGAACCACACCCTGGATGTTTGCGATCTTCTCGAAATCGACGTATCCACCTTCGTTGCGATTTGTATGCTCCATGTTCTTGGTGAAGTGGGTGCCGTTCGAGTTACTCGTGTAGAGGTTGCCCATGTCCACGTACTTGGAGGTCATGACATCGACTTGTATGCTGTAGTTGGTCGACTCGAGGATAGTGTATGCGTCTTCCTCAATTTTGTGATCGCCGAACTGAGCATGATGCCATGTCTCGGTATCTTGGGTTACGTAGAGGGCGAGTTCGTTGGAGTGGTCGGCTTTGGCGGCGGCGACGATATAGCCTTTGACAGCGGCCATGTTGGCCATACCCTGAACGGTACGTCCAGATGACATGACGGGCTCCTCTTCATCTTTGAAGTAACTGCGTCGGTTAGCTGCTACCCATAGTTGTAATCGGTTGCCACTCACTTGTCAGAAATCAGGAGCCTAAAGTCCTTTGACCTGTCCGAGTATTTGCCTCTGGTGATGCACAATATGCGGTCATCGTGCTTGTCCTGGCCTTGGAGGAAGCGTTCGGCGCCCTTTGCCCACTGGCACATTCGGCGGTCTTCGATGAGGATCTTGGGCTTTGACTTGAAGCCATCAGTCGTGTAGTAGGTCTAGCCTAGATTAGCCGCTGGGCTCACAAGCAAGACATACGGAACATACCCGTCCGAGACATGGCGCAGTAAAGCAGTTCTCAATCTCGTGAATCAGGATCTTCTTGCTGTCCTGGGCGTGCCAGTTCACGGGTACTTGGGGCGACGGCGGAAGCTCCGTCTCGAAACTGTCCCAGTTCTCGCCCTGGTCGTACGTGACCCAATGCTTCTTTTCGCCCAAGACCAATGCGACCTTGTTGTCATATGGACTCTTGATTATGCCCAGCCCGTGTAGGTCTTGTAATTGCTTCCAGCCCTTGCCAGCATCGTGTGACCGCCAGATGCTTCCCGTCTCGAGTTCTTGCAGTAAGGCGACTCCGGAATCGTCAAAGTACAGGATGTTGACGATGTCGTTCTTGAAAGCCGTCGTCTCAACGAGCGGCTCTTCTTTCTTGGCGGCGGCGGCCGATGCTAGTGCCAGCAGGGCGGGCAGCAGGAGGCCCTTAAGGTATTTCATCATGCATAGAGGCGATGGAAAACGTGTGTGGTGAGGTCTGAGGTATGCGCACAGTTGAAAGAACAGCTGGCTGTTGGAGAATCACAGCCTCGAAGCTATGCAGCCCCAATGACGCTTGGCGATCTGAAACAGTCGATGCGCCGCGGTGGCGTAGGTGTGAACGGAGCGCAAGCGTTGAGCCCGACGCGTATAAAGATCCAAGGAGCGAGCTAGCACAATCTAAGAGCTGTACAGGAGATTCTAGGTTATGAGGCTCAGTTGCGCGATGATGGGTAGCCAAACTGGACAGATACAGCTCGCAGCCTCCCGCGCGTGGTGACGAATGGGCGGACGTCCGCGGCTTCTGGCCGCACCCAACATCCCTGTCGCTCCTGCACCTGAGATGGTTATTGCCGGCCGCAGCACGCGACTGACACTTTCACTCTTAAACTCATCTCTTCTACAAAGTTGCTAATCCTATTTACACCCAGGCTTTGCTTTACAGCATCCACACTGCTGCAGCCCCCATCTTGTACAGTTCGTGCTGAATCCCTCAAGTGTGAAGATGTTATCGTCGTAGCCGAATGCATCTCAAAATCAGCCAGATTCAATTCAACGGGGTCGACATAAGCGTATTCGTATCATGTATCGGGACCGGCGCCCCCGCAAAGAAACTGGACGACTGCTATCTGCTTCAGGGTCGCAGTCGTGGTGATTACCAAAGTTGGTGCCTCAAACGTGGCTGTAATGGCGATACAGATACATGGATAAGCACGTCATGGAGTAACATATCCAACAAGACTCATGCAGCAATCTTGATCATGTACCGAGACATCTTTTGTGCATATCGGATGCAGACGTACCTCATTTGAGGTGCTATTTGGCGACGCGTGTCGAGTTAACGTGTTGTTCAGGATGCCGCGTATTTCGTCCCTTTACGCGTTCTCCAGCCCCGCCTACCGTATTCTGATGTGCCAAGAAGGGCCGCTCGCGGATCTCGCAATCCCAAAGCCGCTGCTATAGTTGTTCTCACCACTCCACGTCATGTTACGGTCGCCTTACGTCTTGTGTCATTGGCTTTGATATCACAAGCAGTGCACAGATATACTGTTACTTGTTCTGTCGATGTTTCTCCGCGGTTGAATTGCTCTAGCGATTGATCTCGCTACCGCGCATCAGGTTGCTTCCACCGCTCATCCCTTCCTGTGGCCTCTCATCCTAGTCGATAATCTGACTTTGCGTATTGCCAAACCCCACATTTGATGAAGACCTGCGGAAATGTTGTTCAGAGGGCACCGCCTCTTGCATAGGTATGTGTCAAGACTGCCGAGGTAAGCGGATTAGCTCATTCATGGTCAGGGAGTAGTACGGAGTATATGATGGCTCCTTTCACCAGAGTCGTTATCTTCTCTTGTGGAAACAAGGAGTCCGTAGTTGCTGCATGGCTCATGGTAACCTTGGAAGGATGGGCAAATTTTGTTCATTCTTAAACAACACACAGCCAAACAGACGCTTCTTTGGGGAGGTCTCTAAACTGCATGCCAATACATCTTGCAGAAAAGAGCGATTATTGGGGGCTCCTCCGCTGCGCCAAGCCTTCAGATTGTCAGCATTCGCATATTGCTCATCCAATGCTCGTTTTGCCCTGGTCATCCTAGAAGCTCGTGTTATGCAACTGCCTATTAACAATCCCGATGACTCTGAGACGTCGGTTATTGATCCGTCGGACAGTATTTAAGAAGCCCAGGCGAGCTTTGTGTGGTTCTCCTATCATTTCAAAATCATGATGCCTCGACTGTTCAACATCCTAGCACACTCTCTTTATGTGTGTGTCATCCTAACGGCTGCTGAGGAGAGCAATACTCCAGGATCTATCGAACTGGTCAGAGATGTTGCAATCATCGGCGGAGGTGCATCAGGCACTTATGCTGCAGTTCGACTTCGCGAAGACTTAAACACGAGCATGGTGCTCGTCGAACCCAGGCCAAACCTGGGAGGTCATACTAGTACCTACCACATTCCCAAGACCAACATTTCAATCAACTTCGGAGTTCAAAGCTACCTACCATACGGGCCAGCCAAAGATTTCTTCGCTCGCTTTGGAATCCCCACGGCAATCCCTACTAACCAGAGACTGACTGCTCTGAATGTCGACGTCGAAACTGGTAAGATACTGGAGGACTACAGTGCTCCAAGTGCGAATGCGACCAATGAAGCATTTCAGCGATGGCTCTCTATCACGACAAAATACAGAGAAATCCTGGAGCCCGGTTACTGGGACTTCCCGTCCCCAGTGGACATCCCTGCAGATCTACTCACGCCCTTCGGTGACTTTGCCAAACTCAATAAGCTGGAGGCTGCCGTTCCACGCATAGTGACGATATCCGGCGTGGGGTATGGTGGTGTTCGTGACCTTTTGACTTTCAATATCTTACAGGCTTTTGGAGCGTCGCTTACGAATGGTCAGTCATCTCAGCAGGCTCGGCTACGATAGGACCTTGTGTTCTACGTGCTTCCTGGTATCTCTTACTGTAAATGTACTAATTTACTGAGCCTAGACTTCCTGAGCGGCACCCTGTTCAAACCGATTGACAACAACGGTGTTCTCTATGAACGTGCACTCGAACTTCTTAAACCGGATGTACTATTGTCGAGCACTGTGCAGCATGCGATACGAACTGCAAACGGAGTGGAGCTTTCAGTCAAACAAGGAGATACAAATTACGTTATCAAAGCACGTCGCGTTCTATACACTGCAGGGCCAAGCCTGGACAATCTAGCTCCTTTCCATCCTGACGAAAAGGAAACTGCTACTTTCTCGAAGTGGATCACAGGAGCCGAATTCGTAGCAGTTTTAGAGGCGTCTTGTCTACCAGAGAATTACTCGATCACATACCTGCCTTCAGCAGCGGCACCAGCTGATCAGCTTGCGATCAAGGACTGGCCATACAGTCTGCGCTTGGACTCAACAGGACCTCCAGGCCAAGGTCTTTTCCGCGTCATATTCGGTGCCAACTACACAGTGACCAAAGACGAATTTACCAGGCTAGTCTTGAAAAGTGTCAAAGATGTTCAAAATGCAGGAACTGTCCCCTCAAACTGCGATGCGGAATTCAAGGCTCTTTCAGACCATAGCCGACCTTCGTGGCCGCAATCAGCTGAGCAGCTGCGAGCAGGATTCGTGCAAGACTTGTATGATTTGCAAGGATATAATGACATGTGGTATACTGGATATGCTTGGGGAGCTCAATACAGCTCAACTGTCTGGGCTTTTACTGACACCGTCCTTGAGAGAATGTTAGGAGATTTGACGGACGGAAGCTAGTTCCGATCGTTGGCGCACACGCAGCGCAACTCTCATGGCCTGAGTTGCCATAGATGACTAGGTAGTCATTAGTCAGGCGCACGTCAAGGCTCAGATAATGAGAGGTACTCAATGCATCTGAGCTAGGCTAGCCTTGTGAATACGACAAAGTGGTACATACGTGGTGCTGCCGTCATAATGAATCCTCTTTATAACATGCTCCGCTTCCATAGTACACAAGAAGACAGTTCAACAGAGATGACCTGCTGTAGTGGCCCTCGTCGAGATTATCAGCAACAGCACGAGCTATTATATGCGTTGGATACCAGAGCTTTGCCTTTGTCTACTATTGCGTCATCATACCCAACTAATCGTACAATAGCAGGTGCAATTGGAAACCCAGTGGACCTATCTGTTCTGCGGCTTCTGGTGAACAATTAGATTGGGTCAAGGTAACGACTGTTTTCTGCAGCTTCGAATGCAATTATGGTCTTTTGAGTCCAAGTCTACTTAGATATGCCCAGCACGCGTGTACCAGCATGTACTGTGCAATGGGACTGACGATGTCGCAGCGCAAGCCGAGTGAATGATCCATGAGCAAATGAATCGGCCCTGCGAATGAAGCGGGCGAGATCGAGGAAGTATAGAGAAGAAGAGGAAGCTGGCTGGGGTTTGGTCCCTTGATGGGTGATTGGGGAGTACCGAACTTTATCGGATTCCTGCGTCGCCGTCCCCACCGCCCCGGGCTTCTCCTTACCTATTCCTTTGTGTATATCCCATGTCTAAAACCAACCCCATCATAGGCGTATTTAGTTCAGCCGGAATATATTCGCCTACGTCGACCTCGGCCTGTTCTTCTCTGTCCCCGCGCTGACCTCTCACGCATCGAAGAGTAGAAGTTGACCTGACCAGAGCAAATCGCCCGCAAAATCGTCAGTACCTGAAAATGCCGCATTGTCTTTGGATAGCGAAGGTCAGGATATAAATCAAAATCTGATGGCTTGGTCTAAGGAAGTTGTGGACCGTGAGAGCCAGAACCTCATGAGGTAGAAGAGCCAAAGGTAAACTACCTAGCACATGAAGGCCTAACTAGATGTGACCAATGCAGCATTCACTACAGCTGAGGATGATTTTGACGACGAAGACGACAATTTCTGAGATTTCGACATCTCTTGCGAAGAACAACCTTGGAACTCTTGTCCTCTCACATCTACGAAGCTCCTCGCATTCGCATCTACGCCACTTTTCGGAACCACTGTACAAAACTTAGCGTTATCCGAGCCTTCACCTTCATCGACAAGCGTGTATGTTGGATTTCAAAGTCGTTATATTGGGACTAAAAGCTGATGTACACCAAGCCAGCTAATACTTGTTTCGGCCCAACCTAATCAGCCGCCAGGGGGCCCTTGAACGTTCACCCTTCCGCTCCGTACCAACAACATGCACTACGACGCCATTGCCACCTACCTAAGAAAGAAGACTTATTCGCATCATATCTATCATATCTACTAGCGAATGGTGCTCTAGCTTATCTCTGCAGGCTGATCATGCCAAGATCAATTAAGCTAGATGAAGATGTATTGGCCGAGTATGGGGCGGAAAGTGCGGGGGATTGCAGCAGCTCTATATTTAGTGAGAACAATCGCTGTTGATACTGGTCAGGCTCAGGGTATCAGTATGAAGATTGCGTGTTGACCATATTCCAGAACTTCTGCATAGCCTGCCGATCATTTAGGTTGCTGCCTGTCCCAACGCGCCGCTGCGAGCGCCGAGCTGATGTTCTATGAACCTGCTGCGCCGCTACCTTGCTTATCGGCAAGATCGTCTATTGCACCTGAGACTACAGAGTGAGATACAAGGATGCAGCGTGTGGTAGATAATATCTGCATTGTAGTCGACGAATAGAAGCCGTCAGAACCTCACCACAAGGCTACGTAGAGGAGGCGCGGGACGGGCTCAACCCTAACGTGGGAATCGCGGCATATGCTTACCATGTCTTGAGGGCTTTTGAGCTGTGCTTATCACGCTTGGAAGTTGTGGCTGACCAGAGTAGAAATCCTTTATACATCCATGGATATCTAGGTTACCCAAACCTGACCTTGGGAGCCTCACACCTAGTTTTGGAACATTAACGTTGAGGCTCATCTTCGGCGACTATCTGCTCCAAAATTCGCTTCGCGATGGCGTACCAACAACTATCTAAGATGCAGAACGCCGTGGAAGTGACGCCAGTCAACGAGGACTACACCCCGCCTTCGTCTACGCTGCAGAACTATGAAGAGATACATGACTTCGACTTCAGTCCTACCAGTCCGCGCTCAACGGTCAAGTCACCGTCTATAAAGAAGCACGTACCACATTGGAGTTCCTCTACAAACAGTACAGCTGTGACCTCGGAAGTATGTAGCACAAAGTCTAATAACCAGGCTGGGTTGTCCCGTGCACGGTCCTGGGCTTTCGAGAGTAAGACATATCCTTGGATGAACTACATTCAGAACATATACTAACTCGATACACCTACATCTAGTTCTAGCCGTTGTCGTTGGTCTCGGTGCTGTTGCTTCCATAATTGGTGTAGTATCGAAATACAACGGGCGTGCGTTACCTGACTGGCCTCACGACATCACTCTGAACGCTCTTATCGCTCTGTTAGCCACGTTCGCAAATGCCGCAATGTCTGTTTGCCTTTCAAGTGGAATATCGCAGGCAAAATGGATCCGATTCAAGCAGGCATCGACCCCACTATCTGATATGGAGGCCTTCGATGATGCTAGTCGTGGTTCGTGGGGTTCCATCAAATTACTAGGAACTGCCAGAGGAGGGTACGTCTTTAAGGCGCCAAATTGGCTTATGAAGTGACTAACGCACGTCCAAACAGATTTCTCGGATCATTCGGAGCTACTGTCGCTGTTGTCGCCCTTGCTCTTGGGCCTTTCTCTCAGCAAATCGCAACCTACAAAGTCCGAAGCGTGGAAAGCGACATAGGTGCCACTATACCCAGGGCTCTTAACTTTACTCCCGCATTAGCAGGTAACACTAGCACGAGTGAGTAGTCTTGTACGTTGAATGATACTGTAAACTCACACTGCCTTAGCTGGTTTCGTGCCTATCCTTCCACTCAAAGCAGCAGTTTACAACGGCCTGTTCGCAGAGAACAACAGACCTGCAGCGTCACTACCATTCAAGTGCCAAAGTGGTACCTGTGTCTGGGAACCCTTCGAGACACTCGCTGTTTGTCATGAATGCACTGATATCAGCTCTCTCGTTACGCGGTATTGTCCACCTGAATTGGGTCCATCGCCAAACATGTCTTCTTGCGGATGGCAAGTTCCACCAGGAGCACATCGTGAGTACCATCTATCCATCAATGGCGAATGAATAAGTACTGACTCGTTGCATCGTTATCCAGTAAACACAAGTTCTGATGTATTTAGTATGACGTCCTTCATACCATCTGCCTATGGAGATATGCCCCACTCTACGATGATCCGGCTCATCTTTATGGGTACGGAGCTTCAAGACACACCAGATAAGCTAAATCCTTGGGCATCGCAATGCAGCCTACAAGCATGCGCGAATACACTGTCCGCATCGGTCACAAACGGTACACATCAGGAGAACATCACGCATTCAGTACTCAATCATACTGTCATTGACATGAGCTCACCTGATCCTGCTGCTGACTATGGCGTGTACATTGCTGGCGATACAGACGAAACTGCGTACCTGCTCGGCATGGAGGCGCTTTTGAGCATACGGGGTTGGTTCAGCGCGATCTTTACCAACGGCTCTGCGACACGCACGACTAGCGATTTTACCCTTAGCGTGACAGATCCAGACCGGGCCGTTGTAGTCAACCTCACAGTCGGAATCTCATCAGGCGAAACCTTCTTTGATACGGACATAGTGACAGCATTCTACTGGAACTACTACGAGTATGCCGACGGAATCAATATGCTTATGAGCGATCTGGCTATATCGATGACCACCGCCTTCCGTGGCTTCAATGGCGCCGTGGAAACCAACGGGAAATCGATAACAGTTGAGTCATATGTCCACGTCCGATGGGGTTTCGCAGTACTACCGATTGCGGCTGTTGTGGCCACTTTGGTTTTCCTGCTCGCTGCGATGACAATGACACATACGTCGGGCACACAAGTGTGGAAAAGCAGCGCGCTTGTTTCGTTCCTACATGGTTTGGATCATCAAACAAAGGAGAGGTTTGATACCAATGACAGCTTGGCAGCTAAGAAGAAACAAGCGAAAGCAGTCAAGGTCAAACTGTATACAGATGACCAGGACAATTCTATCTTGGGAGTAGAGAAGGCTGCATGCTAACCTCAAGGGAGATATATTCAGTTTCCAATTGATAGGATATAACTCAGAGCATTTGAATCACTATACCCTGCTTCCGTGATCAATATCCTTGCTCTTCCTTCCTTCACTACTGATCTCGCTATCCGTATCGCTGAGCAGTCCATTCCAAGCATCGTCGTCAACGCTGTCCACGTCTTCTTCTTGTCCGATACCCTTGTTTACCTTAACATTCACAAAAAGTATCCACAGTCCGATGTCGTAGGTGACTCTGCAGATTCCAGTAGCCAGGAAAGCCACCCAAAAATTATCGCTTCCAGAAAGGAATCCTGTGATTGATGGTCCGACGCTCATGGCTAAAGTCCGCAGCATGCTCGTGATACCCATGACTCCTGTACGCTCCTCAGGCTTCACAACTGCAGCAATGAAAGCTGTACGTGGAGCTTGATCCATGCTATTCAGAGTAGCTCGGAAAAGTAGCAGTCCAACTGTCCAGCCGACGCTTGAAGGAAGTGGGATGAAGGCGCTAGCTATCGAAGAAGGAAGATGGGTGAAGACCATAGTGTTGATCAAGCCGATACGTTTAGCTAGTGGCCCGGCAAAGATCGCTCCAAAGGCGCAGAGAAACTGGGAAGCTGAAGTAATATCTCCAAGCGTGGACTTCGAAACGTGAAATTTTTGGTCGACGTAGTAGTTCATTAGCGAATAAGGTGTCATGCCGTCTGCTAAGCTGTCGACAGCCAGGAGAATCCAAAGTTTATACATGACAGATCGTGTGGTTTTTGAGATTTGGCTGAAGTAGCTCTGTTTCTTCTGTAGTGGTGGGCTCCTGATATTTGCTGGTCGTCCTACATTCTCGCGGTCTTGATCGAATCCGTCCGTTGTGCTTGGTGTCATGGCCTCTAGTAGTACTTCCTCCTCTTCACTATCATCACCACCGCCACCACGTCTTCGTTCTTTCATCTCCGCAGTCTTTTCACCAGCAGCTTCACATCTGCTACTGAGACCCAGACAAAGAATGCTTCCAAGCACCCCGAAGGCTGCATAGCCCCAAAAGAGAGCATGATATGCTTTAGTCACATTGCCGCTGCTCTTCTCAAGAGCATGTACTGTTCTTCCTGCGACTTCTGCACCAACAGCTCCAGCCATGGTTGTCGCTGTGACATACCATGAGAGCACATCGCTCCTTGTTGTCTCATCTGTCAAACCACTCAAAATGCTCTCCTCGACAGCCCTGAAAGGGCCACAGTCCGCACCAGTGACAGAGATGATGCCGAACACTGCCGCAACCAGAAGGACGAAGAAATTTTCCGACAGAGCAAATGCAACACCTGAACAAGCCATCATTACACTACCCATGAACAGAATCCTTCTCCTTCCGAGTTTATCCGCTACGAGAGTAAGCAGCAATGACAGCATGACATCTCCCAACAAAGTCAATGTCATGAAGACCCCAATTCTTGAATCCGGAAACTTGAGCGAAGAGAAGAAAAGGGCAAGAATCAGTGATGGAATGCCTGCCGTGAACATTCTCAATGACCGTAGTGTAATAATAATGTATGCATCTCGTCCTGTTGCGTTGAGCGATGTAAACCCGAGAAAACCGGCGATTCGCGTCAAGGCTGCAGGAGCCATATTGGAAATGTGTGCTGCGTTCTGGGTTTGTACTCAATGGTTTTGGAACAATGTTTGATAGCAGAACACAGAATCAGTATCAGTTTTTGTTTTACAGAGATCGGATAAAGAATGGTTGAAGAAGAACGGAAAAGCTCTCATCCTACAAAAGACTGATGACCACCCGCGTTGTTAGTGTGAGCGTTAAACCCGAGACGGCTTTAAGCTAAGAGGCTGCATCTTGCCTGACTCACGCCTGCACATGTGCGACGCCATCGAAGTACGTTCTAGATCGTTTTTGGATGATTGCTCAACGGCACCACTACCTACATTTGCTGCCGTTGTGCTCGTTCGGCGATGCTGCGCGGCCGAGTATCGCCCCGCGGTGAATGTGGGGTTCGGTTGCGTCATTGCTAGACTTTCGATGGTGCGTCGCGTGCCCCGAACAGCTTCGTCACATACGCGACACTTTGGATCAACGGAGCACTCCCGGGACTTCCTACAGAGTCTTCAGGTACAGCGAAGTACTCACGCACCTTTTCCTTCTCAGCATGATGGACATCGACCCAAAACAGGATCTGTTCGTCCTATTGTTGATCTAAATTCTCGTTCTTTGGGTTCCGCAGTAACTTCTGATTTAGCCGCGTAACATATGTAAAATAAACGCAAGTCAGGAAGCAATACGTGTAATCAACTGTGTTTTCAGAAAAGGGACGGGAAGAAATAGAAGCTAGAACGCAGACAGGATGCTTTCAGAAGAACTAACGCCCAATCAAGCCTACGTATCAGGCCATTGATGAAGCAAAATGTTTCTTCTCGCGAGGATTTAGATGCGATCCAATAACATGAATTCACACGCCCTTGATACTGTATCATCATTCACAAACACAGTATGAGGAAAACATTTTTCCGAGTAGATGGTTGGCTCCATTTTACTATATGATAATCTTACAGCCTAGTCATACCACCACGAATCATGGCAGCGACAGCTAGGTACAAGTTAACACCACCTAGAGAGAACAGGGTTTGAATGTAGCAACTACGCATCCATAACGTATGCAAGTTTCTGTGTGCCGTTGCACATGGAGTACGGGTATAAAGTGGTTTCACGATCTGCTAGAAGATTGAGACCTGCAATAGCCGAACAGCGTTGGATGGTGGTTCTCAACGAGAGAAATCTTGGAAGTGATCTTTCGAAGAGCGAACATTGTAATCTTACAAGATGTTCCCACCCATGTGGTTAATCACCTTTCATGTTTCATCGGATAAAGGAGTTCTGTGCCAAATTGAATAAACAACTTGGAGAGACGCTCTGACAGTGGAAACAGCGGTGCGCTGAAATGGAAAGAGGAAGAGGAAGAGGAAGAGGAAGAAGAAGAAGAAGAAGAAGAAGAAGAAGAAGAAGAAGAAGAAGGAGAAGGAGAAATTGGGCTTTCGCGAGGCTAAGAACTTATTTAATGGACGTCATCGAGCCAAAGAGATGAGGGCATTCTAGGCCTGCCACATGGCCAATCAAGCACGACTTCCCAGCCAGGTAAAGATTTGCCGGGGAAATAGACATTTTCGACGTTCGACATATGAGGAGATACGTTACTTGAGCTCATAGTTCAAGAGTATTGAACAGGAGTATAGGTTTGGGATAGGCTCGTAAGACCTGGTGTGTAAACGGCTCAAAGCCAGGTGAAAGAATTGCCAAAGCCGCCCCAAAAGATGTCAATATCGCAGACTTCCTCATTTGCAATGGAAACAGGAAGGTGTCTCAAAGTAGGTCCATTTCAGCTGTCCAATGCACTCGGACGGGGAGACTAGCAATGGGGACTTAGTAATCATAGAAGAGAATCTCTAGTACTTTACGGGCTTCCTGTCTATATCAAATAGGATAGCCGGTCTGAGTATCATGCACAGTGCTCAGCGATAAAGACGCTACCCTCCACTACCAGCCCATGGAATTTGAATGTGATGTGCGTGATGCCTTGATCGGAGGCGATGGTAAGCCCGGCTAGCGCTGGAGAGCTGGCATTGAACTCGGGCTGTTGATTGTGGAAGGCGATGCTGCCGCCCGGAAGGCCAGAGAGAAAAATTGGCTTGGAAGAGAAGCCAGTTCACCCGTCGCAAAAGACAGTCAACCATGTCCGGGACCATCAACGGATCGGATGGTTCCAGTGCCTGAGTAGCAGACATGTCTGTTGCGCAGGGTCAAGAGAAAGGAAAGGAGACCAGCAAGCCGAAATACTAGATTCTGCGTGGCGAGACGCATGGTGCGCTGCGACACCATCAAGATGCTGCTAGCCTTGTGCCATCTGCTCCGGCTGAAGGCCGACAATCACTATGTTGGTGGGGCAATATCACATCTTCGCCCTATCTGTCAACACAACAATGATGCAGTACAAATGCGTCCGGGCTGTACAAGAAATCACAGTGGTAAACCGTGCTTGATGCACAACATGGACTCTTCGCAAGAGTGCAAGATTGAGACTGTTTGTATAGACAGAGGGATCGCAGGCAGCAGTCGATCATGGGTGCGGATGAGACGGAACAACAAAGAAGCAGTTCGTCACGAGTTTTGACAGACTGAGTGTGTAGACGTTGGAGGGTGTGGATGGAAGGCAGCGGCCTAGGTATCGATGTGTCAGCGGAGAACCCGTGATTCATGATGAGCGGCCAATCTTGGATGACGCCGAACTATCCACTCTCCGCCTACAATACACCCTCAAAGATGGAAAAAGAAAATCCAGCACCGTCACCACCCATGCATCGCGAGTACCTTTTGGTGGCGCAATGAAAGGACACTGACACTCGCCGCCGGCAAGAGCGCTCCCACGGAAATGTCAACAGTCGCACAGTCTTGGCTTGCATGGCATGGGCCGAGTTGGAGTAACCCTGCAGTAGGCATGGCAGTGGAACAGAGAGTTGGACCAGTCGTTCCTCGTGCATGCTTCGTCCCGCGGCATCCATGCCAAAGATTCGGGCCCGGATAATTGGAGGCGGCGGACCTATTGGTCTTTCATGCGCTGGGGTACAACTCACCCGCCGTCGCAGGTATGATGACACCAGGCTCCCTTTGACAGCAAAGAAACAGACGACAGTCGTGTCTTCGGCCTGCGAGGCTTGACAGGTGCAGTGAAGTTTATGCTTAGTCTGCGTGCTAAGCTGGCGGCGGCAGATTCAACAGGGCGGCCGAGGTCAGTCTGCTGAAAGAGCAAAAACTGGGGATCGTCGGTGTGAGCCTTTGCATAGCGGCCTTCAGGGTCTGGTCCCTGTTGCTACATGTGTGGCCATTTGTGAGGAGGATCCAGAATAATAGTGAGCCATAATCGTGCATGTGCTGGCGGTGAGAGCAGAGGGCTCTGAGCGCGAGCGATCTCATGTCTTATATCCGCCTGCTCCCCTCTGATGCTGTTCGTGTTCGT